AAGGACACTCAGGAAATCATGGCCATGGAAGGAGCATCATGCAAGTACAGGGCTGGCCCCCTCATGGAGGTTTTTTTTAAAGGATTTTGTGTTACTATTTTTTTTTTCCCAGTACTGGGGATCGAACTCAAGACTCCACGCTTGTAAGGCAGCCACTTATGCCGCTAAGCTAAACCCCCAGTCCTCTCATGGAGATTTTGATATTCAGTTCATGATAAGTTTTTTGCAATCATTTTGATTTCTTAAAATACTGCCCCAAACAGTGGCTCACCTGGACTGCCGAGCTCCTGGTTCCCCTGACCCTTGGCACCCAAATTAAGCACCCCCCTCGCCTGGCCTTCATCCTAGCCCCACAGGACAGTCACCCAACACTATGGCCCATGTGCCCATGATGCACCCCAAACTGGGCCAGGCCCCGGGGATCAGGTACGCAGCCACTCACGGGCTCCAGCCTAGGACCTCTGAATACCCAGTCTCCAAGCAGCCTTTCCCAGGACATTAACCAGAGCTGGTTTCTATTGTCTGCCACAAAGAACATCGTCTAATATCCACACTGGTGGCAAGAGTGGCTCCAAGCGAAGTCCACCAGGAGAAACTGGGAGAAGCTGGAATGGGTCGGGCAGGCCGCTTGGGGCTGAGTCAGTGAGCACCAGCACAGAGTGGTGACAGAGGCCTGCAGCCTGCGGTGGACGCAGGATGGCAGCACCGTAGCCTGCAATCAGGGAAACCGAGAAACACTGAGGGCAGAGCCTGGAGGAAGAGGCTCAGGCTTTCGACAGAGGGAGGGAGTGGGTGGTGTGGCCCTGGTGGGCCGGGGAGCAGAAGGATCCAAAGGCAACCTCCTAAACCCCCAAACTCTGGCTCGGGACTCCGAGAGCTTGGGTGGGTATAACTCCTCGGTGAAGCACTTGCTTGGGACTGCATGGAGCCCAGCACAGGACCACAGGGAAAAAGCATAACAGCACACAACGGCACACACAAAAACACTGTACAACAAAAAACCAGAAACACTGAGGACCCTCTAGTGTCCTGGATGTGTCACTTCAATCTTGCAACCACCAGGCTGAGAGCCAAAGATGAAACTCAAAACTCAAGAGTGCAGAACCGCAAATAACATCGTGAACAGATGCTGTGGCCTCCCCAGCTCTTGGGGAGACTCTGGGTGATTCTGGACATGCTAAACCGAGTCCCCTTCCTACTGTGTGTGGGACTGGGCTGCCATAACTGGGACCTGCACTGACATCCACACGTCCCCAGAGCCGGCAGTGCCCTCAGGCCGCAGTCAGGTCCCACACTCCCCAGAGGCCTGCAGGCCCGGCTATCCATCCAAGTCTGCGCAGAGGTTTCCTATTCATGTCATCAGAAATCCGGGACAACTGTGAGTAGGCTGGGAGGATTCACACCAGGAAAATGGACATAGTGTTCGATCAGGCTGAAGGTATTCATGCAACTGTGCCTAGCAGTGGCTCTGGATTCCGGTCGCTGGCCTTATTAGTTGGGTGATTCTGTTTCCTCACCAGATCTAGTGGACACAGGGGCAAAGCAGTGGTCACACTAACTATGGAGAAGACAAAGTGCTGTGTGTGATGGGTTTATGGGTACTGGATTGATAACAGGATGAATGGTGCACAGATAAATGAATGCAGGGGTAATTGAATGGGTGGATGGATGGATTATATATGGATGGATGCACGCATGCAGGAATGCATAGATGGTTGGGCGGATGGATAGATGGATGAGTGGTTGGATAGATGGATGGATGGATGGGTAGATGGATGGATGGGTGGATGGATGGATAAATGCAAAGGTATTTGGATGGATGCATCGATAGTTGGATGGTTGGTGGATAGATGGATGGATGGATGGATGGATGGATGGATGACATACAGCCAATGGATAGAGAAGTACAGACTTGGAGAGAGATGTCTGAATATGTCAAAGACAGATTCAACATAATCCCAAACCTTGAGATGCTTTCAATCAAGGAAGATGCCATGAATTAGCTGAGAAGTTGAAGTATCTATAGTTAGTGGTGAACTCAGAGTCTGCAGCTTCCCAACCACATACAGAATATGTGACAATCAGCCAGACAAGCAGACACTGTGGCAGACACTCTACAGCTCTTTTCGTTCACTCATCCAATGAGTTTGTTGAGCACCTACTACGTACCAGGTACTTCCTGGGCTCTGGGAACAGAACAGGAAACAAAATAAGCCCATCAGGAGTGTCCCAGTGGGGAGGCTGGGTAGACAAGGCACACTGCTTGCAGACAAAGCCGAGTGAGGGCATGAGCTATGGAGACGGTAAAGCAGAGATCTGGGTGGGGGCTGCACTCGGGGCCTGAAGGAAGGGCACTGTCATCAGTCTGCTGAGGTTTCGCCTGCTCCATTCACATAGAAATCCTGAGTCAGCAAAGCACAGCTCTGCTAGCATCTCTGGGCTTTGCCCGCCAAGGGCCCTCAGCCCTTAGTGTTATATCTCTGGTACCTCATGCCGCAAGTCAAGACCAGTCAGTGCAGGTGCCACGGTCACTGCCACTGCGGCCGTCGCAAGTATCTGACTCTGCCAGTAGCTAGTCTTTGAAGCAGTGGGCAGTGTGCTGGCCATACCCACTACTGGTCTCCATCTTGGATCTTTATTGACCACTGGTCTCTGGAGCTTTTCAGGAATCAGCTGCCCAAAGAGTTTGTAGCTCTTTTGAAAGCAACTACTCTGTCCACACTATGCAGGACAAGCACCCTAAGTACTATTATAGATTTCTAGAATCTTCCAAGCCCACACCATGCAAGAAATCAATGATCTGTGCTCCAGCACAAAACTTCAGCAGGTCAAAAAAAAAAAAAAAAAAAAAAAATCCCAGCCAAGAGTGTTGCTTATATAGCAGCAGTGGGCCAGAGATTGGTCCACATTCAAGCCTCTGATTGATCCAAAATTGAGCCTGCTGATTGGTCCAAATTGGTCTAAGTGCAAGACTTCTGATTGGCTCAAATTCTGCTTAGTTAAAATGCAAGCTGACTGAGGGCAAACATCTACCGGAACAGGTATGGGGCCTCCTGGATAATTGTAGCTGTCACCCAGGCAGCTACACACACAGGTGCAGAGTGTGTCCCATCCTTTCTGACACCACTCCGCACCTGTGTGTACCTGGTATCCAGAAGCTGTTTGACAGCTGTTGCATCTTCTTAAAAAGTATAGAGTCAAAAAGTAGCTAGGAATCTCAGCACTAGCTGTTTAAACACAGCTTATTGGGGTTTGAAATGGTTGGGGTCATTAACAATGAGACCACATCCCTTCCCGAGCTCTCACATTAGGGTGAGTTTTCCTGTGCTTCAGAGATGGCAGCATCTAAAGTGGGGGGAGGACACCGTGGCTGACAATCAGTAACTCAGGAGGACACTGAGTGTGGGAAGCTGTCCCAGTCTATCCTTAGGGGAGGGGGAGGGGAGTTAGGGCAAGCAGGGGTGAGATGTTCACAGCTGTCCGCCCAACCACACCCCTCCCAGCCATCAGGGAAAGGAGCTGGAGTCCGGGGCAGCGTCCCTGCAGGTGCACTAGACCATGTCACACAGCACAGCAAACTTCCCAGAATCCCAGGCTGGATTAGGACCATAACCTGAGTCTGCACACAGATGCTGGGATCTGGGTAAACAGCAGTGGAGACACCAGGGACGGTGTCAGAAAGGATGGGACACACTCCGCACCTGTGTGTGCTAAGCACGCCCCAGTCCCTTGGCCTTTGTCTTCTGTACTCGTCCCTTAAAACAAGTTTACGAGTGCTGAGTTCATGGCTATTTGACTTCATTAGCAGAAAGTGTCCATCATGCTGTCTCGCTAGGGAGGCAGCCCATGCTGGGCCTCCGGAGGTCACAGTCACGCTGTCTGGTTGAGAGGAGTTCCCATCAGGACTCCGCAGTGCTGCTGCCTGGGGGTACGGGCAGAGGCCACGGCTGCGCTGGGAGATTCCTGCAGCTGTCTGTGAAACAGTCCAGCTGTTAGCAGCTGCCAAAATGCCACATGTGCTGGGCTCCCACACACCCCCGCCTCCTCACCCCACCAAAGGTTTCTCTGGACCCTGGGAACCCCGAGTATTGGGCCCCCGGATGAGGGAAGGGTCCTGCAAGACAGGATGGATCCAGGAGGCAGGCAGGTGGGCACTTGTGGGAACCCCTCTCCGATCTGCACTGTCCACCACCAGGGTGGATGCCACTTCCTCCAGTGCAGGCTGGGAATCGAGGATGGATTTACAGCAAGTCGCCATGGAAGTCTGACAGTGACGGGCACATTGGTAGGGCCCCAGGACGGTGAGTGAATGGGCAATCGATCTGTCAGGCACCAGGAGCCCAATGTTACGCAGTCTACCCTCAGCCACGTGGCACCCCAGCTCTCTCCTACACTTCCAGGGACAGGGCACATTAGCTTTTAAGGCCCAGATCCCCCACCCCCTGGGCTCCCCGACAGCAGTCTACACTACAGGCGTGACCGAGAACACATTTGGCACCTTTGTTATGGCTGGTACCCAAGTGTTTGTGAGCAAGAGAAAGCGTGGTGGGACTGAGGCTTAGCTCACTGACCGAGCACGCAAAGCATGCGTGGGGCCCAGGGTTCGGTTCCCAGAGAAAGCACAAAACTCCAGAGGCCACACAGAGGCCGGGGCTGAACAAGAGCCCAGGCCCAACGTTCTGCTGTTGCCTGGGAACCCGCAGTCCCTGGGGATCCTCCTACTCCACCTGCCACACTGAAGCCAGGGTCCATCAATGTCTGGGACAGGTACAGTGCAGGCCTTGGGGTGGCAGAGTTGCTAAGTGGTCACCCTCCCGCCACACAGAAGCCTCCTTTGGCGACGAGGCCGTGTGCGCATGTGTGTGTGAGTGCATCTGCGCATGCGTGTGTGCTCGCGCCCGAGCGAGAAGAACCACGTTGCAAGCTGTTGGCAGAGCCTGCCAAGGCGGAAAGGTTAATTGTCACGCGCGATGCCAACAGACAGACCTCAGGCGGATTCATTTGGTTTGGTTTTGTGGTTATTTTTTTTTTACAACTTTAAATACGGAATATAAATAAATTTTACATTTAAAAAATAAAAGGAAAGCCCCCAAAAATATAATCACCAACTTTACAAACTGAAGGAAGCAGATCTCGGTGGGGAGAGGGCAAGCACAGCGGGACAGTGAGCTCAGATCCGCACCGAGGGGCTGCCAGGCTCCTCTCCCTTTTCTCCGCCCCACACCTACCCGCTGTGGTCCTGGGTGGAGCCACCAGGTGGGGCTCCAAGAACCCAAAGTGGGGAGAGGGGGCTGCGGGTAGAGGGGCTCCCCTGTCCCAGACCTTGGCCTGGGCTTCTCACATCTGCCCACAAGGAAACAGCTGGCGCTGAGGCCTGGGGAATGGAGGTGACGGCCCACACACCACTGGTTCACTCCTGTCCGGCTACCCCAGGCAGAAGGCTGGGGCAGGGACACAAGCCGGTGCCCATGGAGCCTTTGTGTGAATTAGGAAGAGGATCCCTTGCCTCAGACACCTGACCTCCATCTGCCAGAAACTGTCAGAATAAATAGACAAACGGGTCGGATGTAGGGTATGAGAGAGCTCCCTGCATGCAGCGCCCTTGTGCAGTCCACACCCTGCACAACCTTGCACGGCAGTCTCGGCTAGGTTAGAATATGATAGGCAGGTCTCCTACCGCCCTGGCCCCTGGCCTTCTGTCCTACAGAAGAATGACTGGGGTCTCAATCCAGGGTCCAAGAGCCATTGGTAGAACATACAGACTGAAGGGCCAGAAGTGGAAGCTGCAGGGTGGAGGTAGAGAAATGAAAGGAAACAGAGGAAGAAATGAACTGGGGGGTTAGCACGGGGTCCCCCGGTCGCCATCAGCTTTCACCAGAACAGCAAACTTCATCTGTAAACTTCATCTGCTGGAGGGGGCGCACGGACACCCACCCCGGCAGGGTGAGTCGGTCTCCGAGGATCTCATGCAGAGGAGATGGAGGAAGCCGCTGAGTGGGCAGAGCTGACGGAGGGCAACGGCCATCTGGGCACCGGGAGGGGCTCCCCCAGTCTGTGCTCCCCACATGGTCTCAGTCTCAGGACGGGCGACAGTCTGCCTGGAGGTGCAGCGCTCCTGGGGCCAGCTGTGCGGGGAGCCCCGTCCCCACCAGTCTGTCTGCTCTTGCCCCGAGCTCTCCCCGGGTTGAGGGAGGCAGGAGTGATGGAGTCCTGTTTCTTCCTCCAGCCGCAGGGCAGGGCTGCCGGCAGGACTGACGACCGACCGTGTGGAGGGGACGGACCCACGCGTGGAGGGCGGGGGGAGCACCATTGGCCGTCCGAATCAGGCATCGAGACGGACGAGGGGGCGACACTATCACTCCAAGGACCCCATGGGGGCAATACAGCGAATACCATATTAAATAACCCTGTGGACGGAGCAGAGGGACACCAGGTCAGAGCTGGCTCCTGGGCCAGGCCAGGGAGCCGGCGAAGACCGCCGAGCGCTCGGACACGGTAATGTGACGGCTAGACTGGTCTCTCGGAGTGGGCTGGGACGCAGCCGCCCGGGTCTCCAGAGCCCCTGACCCCACCAGCCCCACGGCCCAGGGCACAGGTTAAGGGAAAGGAATCGCAGGGCCCGGGCCTCAGTTTCCCCACCAGGTCTCACCTGCCCACATTCTCCTCCTGCCGCCCTTATGCTCCAAGCGTCTCTTTCAGGGCCTCCTTGTCATGCGTGTGCTTGAACTTGCGGTGCTTCCCCTTAGGGGGCCTGCGGACTCGCACCACCCGGATGGCCGTCCGAATTTGGGGCGTCCTGGCTGCTTGAGAAAAAGAGAGCTTATCAGCAGAATTCAGACAACCATGGGCTCTGTCTCTCTTCACCGAGGCTGTCCCTGAGCTTAAGCAAGGGACAGCAGAGGAGTTGGGGACCAGGTCACTGGGGCTCCAATCCCAGCTCCACTGTTCACCAGCTCTGTATGTCTAAGAAGAATGACTGAATCCCTCTATGCCTCAGTTTCTCCATCTGTCAAATGGGTAGCAATCCAGCATCACAAGGCTGGTGAGAGAAACAAGCATGCTGGTGAAGTTCTTTGGGCAGTGCTTGACAGGGTGGGTTTAACATGGCTTCCAGTTTGTTGTTGTGACACACGGACAGGTGGGGTTCACTTCCTGCCCCTTAAATCTGGCCTGCATTCGAGCTGTGACAGAAGGAGGCAGATGCATGGCCACATGCACTCAGGGCAGGAACCTTTGGAAGACCCAGTGGGTCTCAGGAGGTCTGACACTGACCAGCACAGTGTGGAACACATGATTGAGCCTCAGCCCAGCCAGGGACAGTGTCCCAAGCGGCTGCCATTGTTGTCAGAAGTGCTACCACTAAGCTGGCTGGACTTCCAGTCACCTACACCTACTGGTTGAACGTGACTCCCCAGTTACAGCGTGAAGTCAATGGTTCATTTACAGCGCGCCCATCTGAAGCTGTCCCTGACCAGCCCCTTGGTCACAGCCCCTTAGCACAGAGACAGACAAGCAGCCCTAGCCTCATGCTCATTAATAAAAGGTCAGGGCAAGAAGGACCCTGACCAGGGTGGAGATAGAGCTCAGTGGCACAAGCGCCTGCCTGGCAAGTGCGAGGTTGTCAATTTGATCCCTGGCACAAAAATAAATAAACAAATAACCTCCCTAACAATAAAAAAAGTGCTGGCAATCAAAATTGTCACTGCTCTGATTTTTTAAAAAATGTTCATATAATTGTATTCACTTAATAATTTGATCCTTATTGGATGTGCTTAAGGAAGAAAAGGTTCAAAGAACCTGAATCTTGTCATTACAAACCCGGGGTTCTCAGCTAGGCCCTTACCATCTGCTCCAGCAGCCTCGATTACCACACGGGACTGCAAGGCACAGTGCAGAATATAAAAACCCCAGCACTCTGGGAGGCTGAAACAGGAGGCTGCAAGATTAGAGTCCAGCCTGGCAACTGAGTGCCTCAGTGAGGCCCTGTCCCAAAAAAAATTTAAAAAGGGCTGGGAATGTAGCTCAGTGCAAAGGGCAGATTACAAAGGCCACAGGAAAAGAAATTTATGAGAAGACAGGTGAAAGCCAAGAACAGAACTTTGGGACACCTGGTTCCAGCCACATCCCTGCCTGGGACAGGCTGTGTGGCCTTGGGCAAGAGATCATCACATCTGGGCCTCAGGAACCTGCTCTGTAAAATGTGCAGGGCCGGATCCATGCCAGCTATAAACTCATGCAATCCACGGGCACGGACACCACTCTAATGCCACTCATCCATCTGTTGAATGTGTGAACCCCATCAGTCACATTCCAGCTACACGGGCGTCTGGCCTTCCCTTGCACACCTCCACGGATGGGGAGCTCACTGCCTCCCAAGGCAGCCAAATCCACTGGGGAGCCTGGACTGGTCACCAGCCTTTCCATATCTGGAGCTAAGATTCTCCAGTGGTTTTACTCACTGGTCTTAGTTTCCTGATGTAAGGCCACAAGCAATTAATTGGAGTCCTTATCCTGAGAGTGAGTTGTCCAATCATCTGCAGAGCATCTGTAGCCAAGGCAGACCTCTAGGAGGAGCCCGGCTCATGAAGAGCTGGGGGAAATGTGATCCCGAGGCCTGCACGTGCAAAGGCTTGGCCCAAGGATACAGCCCCGCCAGGGTGGCATGAATGAATGGGACTGCTTGCTGTCCAGGCCAGAAGGCCAGCTGAGGGCTACTTCTCAGTATAGGGCCTTCAGGCCTCCGGGGACCCCAGCTGCTGCAGGAAAAGGAGGCTGTGGTCAAACATTCAGAGTAACCCCTGGGAAGGAGGTTACCTCGCTGCTCCTGGGAACCCCCCTGGCTTCGGGTCACAGGCCGAGCAGACACCACCGTCTCACACTTGCAGGCCAGGTGGTCTTCCAAGGTCACCGTGGCCTTCTTAAAGGTTGGCTTCCCCCGCACGATCTCGATCTTCCTCACCTGGAGGACAGGACACCAAACCGCTCTGTAGAGACCCAGGCTTGTGCCTGCCCAAGGCAGAACTTTCCTCGAAAGCCCTGCGCTGGCCTGCTCGCCTCTGCTGCGGCCCAAACAATAGCAAGGCCTTGCCCTCTGCCCTTCTCAGAGCTTTTCCATCAAAACAAGCCCTCCAACCTGGCCTGTGGCTTTGCTGCAGCCCCCAGGGGCCCCCAGAGAGCACGAAAGGCATTTCCGGGTTGTGCATGGAGCTGCAGTGTGCTCATTCCTGGAACGCCAGTGGCCAAGGCCAGGGGCTGCGGCAGAAGCCACTGGCGGTCTGAAAGGAAGGGGGAGCTTTATCTAGGAGGGCGGCGGGAAAGGGAGGTCAGGTGTCCCTGCATGGAACTGGAAGCCTTTGGGACAGGAGACACCATGACAGTCGGTGGCCAGCCGGAGAGGGACATTTGTAATTTCAAGCACAGGGCCCAGGCCAGGGATGGAAGGTAGGCAGGGAGCAGGGAATAGGCCACCAGCTGTGTGTGGCCAAGCAGGTGACAGCATTCAGCCAGGGACAGTGCTGAGCCCCCAGCATGGACCTGGCAGTGCAGCCAACCCACATGGGTGCAGGGGTCCTCGGGTGCAGAAGCCTGTCCACGTGATCAGAAGACACGTTCCTGGGGTTCCCTGGCACAAACAGCCTTGACACCCACGCCCATGTGCCCACTACCTCCAGAAAAGAAGTGACACAGCACAGATTGCCAAGGTGACATGAGCAGGTGACAGTGTGCAGGGGCCCTGCCTGAATCTTTCTCTGAGAGATCCAAATATTGAGGAGCTCTCCAGGGCATCTGAGGTGGCAGATACTGGCAGACTCTTTGAGGGGCATCGCGGGACTTCACCCCTGGGAAAGAGCATGGTGGTGCCCACACCCAGCCCGAGCTGGAAAAGCTCTTGCTGTGGCTTTCAGCCACCTTGGAGAACGAATGGTGCAGAGCTCAGGACACCGCAGGATCCCCCTTCACGCACACAGCAGGGGATGGGACCTTCACGCACACGCACTTCACCAAGGCAGGGGACGGGACCTCGCACCTGCACAGGCCGCAGCTGCACCTGCGTGGGCCGGCACTGCACATTGCGGTTGTTACAGCAGCCGGAGCAGCGCTGTACCTCCACGCAGGGCGGCCACACCAGGAAGTTGGCGTTGGTGCGGTCGATGAGGTTCCTGGAGATCTGGAACACCTCCGTGCGCGTCTTGCACTCGGCGATCATGGCTGGCTCGGCCACCGTCAGGGAACCTGCAGGAGGGGCTGGTCAGCATCTCATGGCCAGAGAGCTCTGCGAGTTCCTCCCCCCCTCCTATGGCCAATGCCCATCCTCACCTGCTGGGGCTCCTGTCACTGACACTCAGGGAAACCGAGGCTCCAAGAGCCCACCAATGTCACAGATGGAGCTAAGGGACCTTCCTGACTCTTCCCTGTAGGTTCCCCTGGCCACATCTGCAGGGTTTTGGAGACCTCAGGTGGGCGAAGAAGAGGAGGCCCCAGCGAGCTTCTCTGAGGCCTAAAGATCTAGGGGCTCCCCAGCTCTACCAATTCTAAGCTGTGTGACCTCACCTACTTCTTTACCCTCTCTGGGCTCTTGTTTGCAGCTCTGGGAAACTGTCTGGTGCGGTTTACCTCCAGGGGTACGGTATGGAACACACAGGAGAAGCTCTCTATTTAAGAAGCGCTATCAGGAGCACAGGGGCTGTACTGGCTCACGCTGAGGCTGTCACAGTGTCCTGAGTGTGGGGAAGGGAGTCTGGGGCAGTCCTGGAGTCATACTGCCCCCGCCTTCTCCTCCTCGGGCTCCCAAACTTTGAGGGCCACGACTGGGACCCTGGGTCTTACCCAGGCTCCTCCTCCCGCGAGATGAGCCTCCTGCCTCGCGTCCTGAGTGGGCCCGGGTCACATTCAGGTCCAGCTCGGCCCCATCTTCATCTGCGGGAGAAAGCATTGGGTCTCACTCTGCAGGGCTGATGGTGACGCTGTGCGGGGTTCCCACGGGACTCCGGGTGGCCTGCTCTTCGAACCCCAGGACAGCTTGGTACTCGGGGCTCCTGGCCCTGGGCAAAGCTGCCCAGGAAACTCCAGGTGGCCAAGCTCGGGGGTGGTGGGGCCTGGCTGCATCTTCAGGGTGCCCCCACCCCCACTCTGGGTTCTTCAAACACGTTTTCTGGCCATAACCCGTATCCACGGAGTTAAAAATAACCTTCCCCTTTGCTACTGTAAGCGAACCCTCCTCAGCCTGGGGGGGGGGGGCAAGGCCCCAGCACCACGCAGGCCTGCGCGCAGGCCGGTTCCCAGTGCCCCTCCGCCCAGCATTCCCATAGGAAGTGCTGAATGGAGAAATTCCCAGAATCCCCAGGGGGGCAGCAGGCCCTGATCACAGCCCCTCTGGAGCCTGGACAATGGCCTTGCAGGCCAGAGAGGGGGCGGAGGGGACAGAGGTGGTGGCCGAAGGCGGAGAAGAGGCTGGTGACTCGGTGCCACGTGCCCCGCTAGGCCTGGGTTGCCCCCTCGTTCTCAGCCTCCTTCTTTAAGCTCTCCAGTCTGGCCAACTCTCACCTCAGTGCCACCAGCACTCCTCGGGGACATCACCTTCCTCTAGAAAGGGTAGCCAGAGCTGCCCACTGGGAAGTGAGGCTGGGGAGGAGGCTTTGAGCTTGAACTTGAAGGGGGAGGGCCCCTGTGTCACTCTGATGGGGCCAGAGCCCCCAAGCCAATTCAAGCCTCCTGGGGACAGACAAGCCCAGGCCACCTCCCCTGGCACCAATAGCTCACACCCTGCCCCAGCCCATGTCCTTGTCAAAGACAAAGGCCCCTGCAGGCTGCTGTCCATTGTCCAGGATCTCAGGGGATCCTGTTTGGAGAAGACCGTCCTGCAGTATAGCCTGTGACTGGTCGACTTCCGCAGGACGGCTCCCACGTCTGCGTCTGTCTGTCCCTCTCCCTTCCTTTCTCCCTGCCATCTCTGGAATGTCCCTGGTGGGGAGGAGATGGGGAAAGATGGGCTTTGTGGAAAGGTTAAGTCGATTAGGAAAAAATAGCCACATGGCTGCCTCGAAACAGGCCGGCTATTGAAAACCTCACGTCCAAGATCCTGACCCCCACCAGGGGTGTGGAGGGCCGGCAAGGGTGGCGGGGACCTTGGAAAAAATGGCAGAAAAGCTAAATTTGGAAGTTGCCCCATTGTGTGGCCAGGGTTGGCTAGTCGGGCACAGGGCTGGGGGTGGTGGGAGACACTGGGTGGGGGCCCTGGTAAACAATAGGTGGGCCCAGCTGGGGCCCCCTCCTGCCTGCCTCACCGCCTCCCAGTGCAAGCAGGATTGAAAGGGCCCGGGAATGCTTTTGAGAAGGAGCCAGGGGCCCAACAGGGAGAGGAGACAAAGGCAGGAAATGCTGTTCCCCCGTAGATAGCGTCTGGGCAAGGATTACAAAGTGACAAAGAGACAGAACCCCAGAGGGAAGGGGACCCGGGGGTGCAGGGGGGTGCTGACTGAGGCTCCAGGGACCAGGCCAGAGGTTAGAATAGAATGGAATTTGCTCTGAAGACAGCGTTTATAAATACATTCCCAGCCCAGCCCGCCGGCCGGCCCCGCCACGTGTGTGCCACCGAGCACGTGCCCACTCGCTGGGCTCGCTCTTGGGCATGGGCAGGGCTGCGGGCTGGTCCGGGCCAGGTGTCCCCAAGAGACCTCGCAGATTGGGCCCAGGGCCAGAGGGGCAGGGAGACGGCTCCTGAGGCACCGCCCTGCCCGGCTGTGCCCACACCTGCAGAGACACTCGGTGGAGGTCCTGGGCACCTTCCCCCTGCCCGCTCTGCCCCAGAACCATGCCAGAGACACATGGGTGCTTCTCCTGCCACACCCTAGGTCCCAGGTACTGATCCATCTGCCTCCTATGCCCACCCTGGGTGGGTGTAGTCAACCCTCTTTGCACTGCAGAGGGGCAACGGTGGGCCCCTAGACGTCCATGGAGGGGTGGCCTTGCCTTCTCCCAACCCCCAGATTGCCTAAGGCCCGGTAGAGATCAGAGTGCTAGAAGATTTCATTTACCTACGGAGTCTCCGTGCAGCAGGCGCTGGAGGTCATCGAAGGATCGGATGGACTGGTCACTCAGCATCTCATAGAGTTCCTCGGGAATGGGGTCCCCCTGCCAGGCAGATACCAGGGGGTGCTGAGTGAGCTGGCAGGGGTGGCCCTCTCCCCAGTCACTGACTTTCTCTATGGAAACTTCCTCTGGGCCCCTTCAGGCTGGGGCAGGCAGGACCTGGGCTGACAACCCTGGGGACTTGAACCTCCAAGACCTAGCTCTGAAACTACCCTGGCGCCACCCTACAGCCGGGAGCCCCAGCCTGCTGCCAGCTAGACCTGCCTGTCAACATCGTCTCCCCATCAGACTACCAGGCCCAGGGAGGCGCCGACAACCCAGTTCCTATCTGCTTCTGCCGAATCTGATAGCTAAGGACAACTGACATGTATCACAGGTGATCTAAGTACCCCATTCTGTAGATAAAAAACAGAGGCTCAATTAGTGAACACCCTCTGCCCGGAATCCAACAGCCTATTATCACGAAAGCTCACCAGAGCTGTAGCCTTTGTGACAAGAGCCTGCACCCCAGCCTCCGGGGAATAAGAGGTGCGAGCGATTCCGCAGAGTCCTACGGTCTTAGGAGGCCACATGTTCCAGCCATGCCTATTCAGACTCGCACCCAAAAGAGAGGAGGGAATCCTTCCCAGCCGGGAAACCTGAAAGCTTACCCATGCCCATGCCCGGCCAACCCCTATTTTTAGAGCCCCTCTGGCCTGTCACCAAACACACTTGAAACTTAATAAGCACTTTAACAGGCCTTGCTCGGAGCCAGGCTTCCTCCAGGGAAACCGCAGGTCCTGCAATAACATGAGACAGGCCTGATAGGAAGGTCGCTGCTGCATCCCCCGGGAGCCTGGGAGACCCAATGGCCTGGGGCCAACAGTCCCAAGAGGAAGAAGAGGGCACAGAGAACCAAGACACACAGTCCCATCGGCAGCCACCGTGGACAGCCACACACCCGGAGGCTCTGCCCCAACACAGCCGCACACATTCAGGCAAAGTGTGCAGGGCCACGCGGCCTAACACTGGGGCACACCACACTGTGCCTCAGTTTCCCTAGGCCAAGAGAAAGCCCTGCCCGCCTCTGTTCACTGAGCACCCCTGGGACTACAGTCTGGAAACTGAGCTCCTGTGGCTCTCGCACTGCCTGGGGCCGAAGGGAGCATCTCAGCCCCCCAAAGCTACGCAGGATGCAGCTGTGTGGCTCTGACCCACACTGTGGGCTGGGAGCTGTAAGAGCCAGGACCAGGGTGGACGAGGCCCCTTGGAAATCTCCTTCCTGAAACCCCTCCTCCACCGAGCAGCTGGCAGCCCCTCTGTGCCTCAGGTTGCTGTGAGGCTGGGGAAGAGAGGTGGGGCTGGGCTGAGATCAGGGTCCCTCCTTCCCATCCTACCCATGCTCCCTAATCCAGGGGAAGAGACCATGTCTTTGGTGCCCTCTGATTGTTGATCAAGCACCCAACCCATGGGACAGAAGGCTGGCAGCTGGTGTCCAGTGAAGATCAGAGAAGGCCACTGCCCCGACTTTTGTCAGACACACAGAAATGCCAGTCCACAGAGCTCTGTTACCAGCTGCTGTGTGACCTCAGGTTAGTCACTGTCCCTCTCTGATCCTCACTCTCACTAGTCGATCAAGAAGGTTGAAAAGTATTTCATTTGATTCTAACACTGCCTCAGGGTGGAAGCAACAGCAGAGGAACAACAAAGTGAGGATGCCCAGGCTGGCCACCCTGGGTCACCCCCAGAAGGGGGGTAAGGAGTGTTTGTGGAGTAATGATTCAACAGGCCCCACCAAGATGACATTTGGAGCTTGTGCCAAGTTCTGCTTGCCCACTAGAGAGCTGGGGCAAAACAAGGAGACCCCCAACAGGACCCCTGGGGGCCCCAGGCCCTGACCTATGATGTAGAGGAGCTGACTTGTTGGAACCCACTCAGGGCTTAGGAGACGGAATGGAGAAAGGTCCGGGTTAGAGAGCATAGAGGTGGGGGATGCACACATGGATGCTGGCAAAATCACCGCATTGTCCCTGGTCCTCTCCGCATGCTTCTCACACACACACACACACACACACACACACACACACACACACACGAGGGCCAGCTGGGAAGTTCTTCCCTCACCTCAGGAAAATCCTCTCCTCCAAGCAGGGAGGCCATTGCTATGCCTCCTGCTGGTGACCAGGTCACTAGATGCCCAACATTCACTCCAAACCCCCAGACACCACCACAACTCATATCACCAACCGGTGACCACAGCCAGGCACTGGCTGAGCAAAATGCAGGACAAACTGCCAATCTTCAAAGGCTGGCAGTATCTTTTTTTTCTTGTCTTTTTGAGACAGGGTCTCACTATGCAGTCCAGGCTGGCCTTGAATTCGATTTGTAGCCCAGGTTGACCTCAAACTCACAGCGATCCTCTTGTCTCAGCCTCCCGAGATTACAGGTGTATGCTACCACAACCAGCCTGGCTGGCATTATTTTTATTCCCATCTTGCAGATGAGACAACTGAGGCTTTGAGAAATTAAATAAGCAGCCACAGGTGTAGATGACCAACTGGGTGCTTCCCAGGCCCCGGAACCCGCCCACTTTTCTGCCCCCTATGGGGGGGTTGCTCCTCCATTCCGACACCAGTAGCCCTGGCACCATTAAGGCCCTTGTCAGGCTCTTTACTCCCAGGCGCAGTGGTAAGACCCTGGAAGGGTCTGAAGACATTTTCAGAGGCCACAACTAAGGCGAATACTGACATCTAGCAGGCCCAGGACAATGCTGCAAAATAAAACATCACTGGTCCAAACACTAGGAGCACAGGGGTCAGAGGGCAAGGGCTTCGGATGCCAGGGGAACCTGGGCCCTCAGGGCAGATCCTTTCTTTTTAACCATCGCAAATCTCACCTTCTTCATCTTAGAAACTGAGCTAGAAACACCTCGACCAGGTAGGTCACTGCAAGGCACAATTGCATGCAGCAGAGAATCCACCAAATGACAAGTGCTTTAAGAATTTCATTGTCACCATGATTCCTTCTTTCATCATGGCACCTTTGAGGACAGCAGCAAGTGGCACAGATGCCCTGAGACATTTTTAAGGAGGTCAGTGGGTAGGTGAAGAGTCCCGTGCTTATGGGAGGGCACGTGACTGCGCTGTTCCCCTGTGCCGGGCCACAGGAAGTGGCACCCTGGTCCCACTGACACCAGCTGGCCCTGTGTGGGTTGAAGGGTCCCTTCCGGGCAGGACTGGGGGCGGTAACAGCCAGCCTGTGCTCAACTCTGGGAAGCAATGCCCTGGGGGACCCTTGCAGGACACCTGTTGAGTGTCAGAACCCCCCACTGAGCGTAGGTGGGTGAGCAGCTCTGAGCCTGGTTTTCCTGGTCACCTCCAGGTTCTGGAGGCCTCCAGGTGGGCACCACAGACATAAGAGCTGAAGACCCTGAAGAAGCTGCCCTAGATCTCAGGTCTGGGGCTGCTGGCAGGGTGAGGGCAAGCAAACAGCTGGGGCAAAGCCAGCCCTGGGAGCCAAGGCAAACAGCCTGCTCCCCACCCCGCCCCCAACGCCAGCTGCAGGAGGCAGGAAGGGCACCAGCATGTGTGAGGCCAGGTGAGTTACCTGCTCCCAAGCAGGCTGCAGATCAAAGGGGCTCGAGCCCCACCCTCCACCTGGGCCCCAGCACACACAGGAGAACACACACAAGAGCGTGCACACACAGACACACACACACACACACACACACACACCACACTCCTCAGCAACCAAGGGTGGTGTCTGCAGCTGGCAGAGAGGAGTTGACAAGGCCTCCTCCAGCCTGCCTGCCTGCCTGCCTGCCTGCCTAGGACTCTCAGGCCTTATTTAGATCGGATACCAAAGCCAAGCCCTTGGAGAAGCCCTCTCCAAGCAGACCACAGAAACAGTTTTGCACCAGCTTTTCCCAAAAGCAGTTCCCTTCCTCATGGCTCCTGGGACACCGCCTCCTGCTCAGCCTCCCTTCCTCCAGCAGCCCAGCCCACTGACCTGCCCACCTCTTGCTGAAGCAAGAAAAAAAATGCCAGATCAAGAAGAACTCAGGAGCAGCCCACAATCCTGGCAGCCCATAGCAATCAGCATCCCAGCTCCCAGGCAAGTAACTGCTGTCCATGAAACTCTCAGCTGACCCAGACTGCTCCTGTGTGTGTTAGGTGGCAGAAACCAAGGCCCAGCTAGAAAGAGACAGTCTGATTCTTCCTTTTGTGTGTTCTCTGTCCTTTCCAATCCTGACAGTCCAGGACCCAAGACAGGGAGGAGAAACACATGGTTGGCTTCATTCACTGTCCTGGCCACATTTACTGTTCAATCTCCAGGCACTGTGCTGGGACTCAGAGCAAAGCACTCAGGTGCAGTCTACAGTCCCATGGAGAAAGACAGTAAACAACAGAATCAACCAGAAAATGCAGAGTTGCCACAGAAAGAACATCTGGAAGAGGGGAAGAGAAGGCTGCCAGCCACTTACAGTAAACACCTTGAGTTAACCTCTCAGGCACACTTCCTGGCTCTAGCACCAAAGACTCAAATTCTGTTTGACCTTGACCTTGCACACCTCCAGGGCTGGGGGATTCCAGCAAGTTGGTTTCCTATCCCCTCAGGCCATCGGAAAACCAGGAAAAGCTGGGTATTTTGAAGCTATGGGCCCCCACTCTGCTTCCCGGCAGAAGGGTGCTGGGGCAGAAGACCATCACATGACAGTGGGAGTCACCTTCCGGGAAGCCAGCTCAGCTGATGCGGACGGGACCTCAGCGCTCTGCAGACCCCCGGCTGACCCCACCTCACGGCTCCCACCTTCCTTCGCGGCTACGGAGGCCTTCAGAAGATTCAGCGCAAGAATGCCCAAGGGCATGGGCAGCTTCAGACCCACCCCCCTGCGGCAACCTTCCCTGAGTTTCCCTGCAAAGGCAACCAGGAGGTAGCTTCTCACACTACCAAGTAGGCCCCTTCGCCCCGGGCCACAGAGCTTGTGCAGGATTTATTTTTTAAAAGTGCCTCACAAACAGCAAAGCTGCAAGTACAATGGCCAGGCCCTGCAGGGGTGTGGTCCAGGCTGCTGGAACTCAAGGGAGCTGAAAAGCTGAGTTTCTGCACTCCCAGGCCTCCACCCCAAATGCACACAGGAGGAGGTGTAGGAGAGGAGAGGTGCAAGGGGGATGGGAGGGGCTGTCCCAAGCACCAGGGATCAGCCAAGAGGGAACCACTCGGGGTGGGAGCGACCTCCACAGTGGCGCGAAGCATCCCTGCTGTCCCGGAGATCCCCATGAGGGCACCTTGAAAAGAGAAACGCTCGGGACAGCCCCGTGCCCTTCAGTCAAATCCACGCCATTTTCTGCCACAGGGGAGCATTTTTAAAGAAAATAAAAGCAATCTCTGAGGACTAAGATTTGAGGGGTGCGAAGCTAGCCTGACCGGGCAAAAACAAAAATAATAAGAAAACTGCCCCGGTTCCATGACCTAACAGGAGAGCTCTATTCCGTCCTAGAGCCCCAGGAAGGAAACGGGGTCGTTACAGAGGCGGCGAGGTGCCAGGGCCCACCTGTTGCGCGGGGGCGGTCACCTGGTGCCGAGTGTACTGGGACTCTACGTGCCTGTGTCCGTGCGTGGGTGTGCGCGCACGTGTACTCGAGCCGCGTGTGCAGCGGCCATGCGTGCGTTCGTGTGCGATGCGCGCGCGTCTGGCCCGCTTGTGCACGGGCGTGGCGGCGGCGTCGGGCGCGCGACCTGGCCACGGTAGTGCGTGCCCGTCGCTCTGCGCGCCCGCCCGCCGGAGCGCACCATCGCCTCCGGCCAGGAGTGTGCATGCGTGGGGTGAGTGAGCGAGTCGGGGGGCCGGGCGGGATGGGCTGCGGAGAGCAGCCGCGGGCGCCTCCGTTCCCAGGACGCCCTGGCGCTGGGCCAGCCCAGGTCCCGCGGCGAGGCGGCAGCTGGAGCCGGCCGGCGTCCCCTTCCCCAACAGCTGGCGGCGACCCGGGTGGCTGCGGGAGAGGCGGGGAGGACGCGTCGCGAGGGGCCTGCAGGCGATCCGGCCAAGCCCCGCGTCCTCCCTCCCGGGTGCGGGCCGCGGGGACGGCCGCGGAAGGGCGGGGCCCCGGGACCGGCGGTCGGCGGCCCTCGAGGAGCCCCGAGAACAAAAGGAGACGGCGACGGCTCCTCCGTGGTCAAAACAACCTGCGCTGGCGGCGGCCCAAGGCCGGGCCGCGGCCTCACAGCTCAGCGCCTTAACCCCTTCGCCGCCGCCGCCCGCCTCCTGCGCCTCGCCGCAGGCCGAGAGCGGTGGCCCTCCCGGGACCGGCCTGGCGCGGGCTGCGGGCCGAGGCGGGACGGGACCCGGGCGCGCCGCGCTCCGCCGCCCTCGCAGCCCGCACCTCGCGCCGCCCGGCTCCGCCCCTTCCCACCTGGGTTCCGGGTGGACTTGCCAACTCACTGCTACGTGAGGCCGGGAGGGGTGGCGGCGCCGATCCGACCCGATCGCTCCGCAGACGTCCCCGCGCCCCACCTCGCTGTCAGCGAGCTTTTGGCAGGCGGCGCGCTCCCTCTGCACCCTCCACGCGGGGGGGAGAGGGGCGCTTCCCCTCGGGGGCGCGAGCGCAGGTCTGGCGGGCCTTAGGCGCACTCCCCCTGACGGCTGGATTTCTGAAGAGCCCCGGTCCTCCTATCCCTCCAGGCGCCCGAAGCCCACCCGCGCCTGGCTGCTTGCCTGTTTCTCTTTGGGACCCCCGCGCTCAGGCCACAAACAGCTCCTGGGGCGAGTGTCGGGCATGCTCTGCGTGGCCCCGAGGTGCCCAACCCAACCTAGAGCAGAAGCCAGGGCGAGACCCGAACCTTCGCCAAAGGTCGGCATGGATGTCACAGGCGTGCGAGCTCACGCCTCCCCAGCAGTGTGGGTCCTGGACAAACGCGAAGGCCACCTTGGAGCCGACCTGGGTTTGGGAGGACTCGCCGCCGTCTTCTGCCCTGGGCTCCACCCCACCTCTTCTCCCCCACCAGGGATGGAGCTGACTCTCGGGTTCCTGAGGGAGGGGGCAGGGCTCCACACACACACCCTGTCCAGACGCTAGGGAGCTGCAGGATCTGGGTTCGCCCCTTGGCAAGAAAGCCGCCGCTGCCCCTTCCCCTTAGAATCTGGCTCCTCCGGACCTTGCCTCCCAGCCCTCTGGGTCACCGGGCGCCCAGCTCACGAGCTGCAGAGGTCCAAAGTTCACAGCAGGAGAAGAGGGGGCGGCCAGGAGTGGGGGTGGGTGAACGCAGGGAACCAGCGCCCCCGCCGCCGTCGCGACTCACCTCGGCGCTGACCAGACGCAGGTAGCAGCAGAGAGACAGCAAGAGCGCCCAGCAGCGATTCATGCCGACTCCGGGCCCGGCCCCGCGGGGCCCCGGACGCGTAGACCGAGCGCGCCGCCCCCGCGGCCAGGGTGGGGGGCTGGGAAGGAGGGTGGGCTCCGCTCGGGTCCGCGGCGATCAGGAGCTCAGGCCGCTGCAGCCGCCGCCGCGGCTCACCCGCATGGCCCCTGGGCGCCGCCGCCCCCGGCCCCGGCTCCGTCGCTGGGGGGCTGGGGATGACCAGGGTCCGAGACTGCTACCTGGGCGGATCCCGAGCCCGCGTGAGCATCCACGGCCGGGGGGCTGCGTCGCGAACCAGCCAAGGCGTCTAGCCGTGTGGGGGCGCGCAGGGTACTCCAACCTCCAAGAGGAAAAGGAACACGCCAGGCAGGCGATGGTTCGTCTTCACTCGCCGGCTGCAGGCGTTTTCCTCTGCCCGCTGGCTTAGCTTTTTTGCAACATTTTCTGAAGAGGTCCCCCAAATCAAAAAGCTCAGGGCTTGGCACCTCAAAGCCCAAATCTTCCCCAAAAAACTTTTTCCAAAGTTGTCTTTGCAGCGGCGGCAGGAGCACCCGGGCAGGGAGAGGTGCAAACTCCCGCCCGGGCCGGGTGGGGGGGCAGGAGCGTGTGCGCCCTGGCGCGGGGCCCGGGCGGCGGGCACGGCTGCTCGGCGCGCGCTGCGTTCCCGTTGCGCGCACTGCCGGGCTGACAGGTGGACGCGGCGCGAGTCGGTCTGTCAGTCTGCCCGCGGGCTTGCCGCTCTGGGCGTCCTCTGCGGGCTGCGGGCTGCGGCTGCTCCGGCTTTCCCGTTGCAACTAGGTTGGAGGGTGGGCTTTTTTCCCCCCTCTTTTGCGCGTGTATGTGTGCGCGCAAAGTATCTCTCCTTCTCTCGAATGAAAGATGGGCGCTGGCGGCCGGAGGGAAACCTTCAGGGAAGCAGCGGGGGTTGGGGGCTCGGGCGCGCAGGGAGGCAGGCGGGCCGCTCCCGACTGCAGAAGTTGCCACCCTTTCAGCTGTTCCGGCCTTTATAAAGGAGAAGGGAGAGTGCGAGAGGTGGGTGGAGACAGCCTTTCCTCTTCTGGCCGGGAGTCAGAGCCAGGAGGGGGGGGCAGAGCTGGAGGAGGGCCTGGGGCGAGGGCGGGGCACATAGGGGGTCTCTGACAGCCCTGGTTAGTCCCGCTGTCAGCGAATCCCGCCCCTGGGAAAGAACTGGGAGCGACCCACAGCCTCACGTCAACACAGTGATCTCCACAGGTTAGGTGCCCACGTGGTTGCGGGGGGGGGGGGTCTCAGGACCAGGCCTGGAGGCCAAGACTCACTCAGGAAGGACTCAGCCTCTGCAGCCTGACCGCTTCAATCAGAGCCTGTCTGGCTCGAGTAGCTGGGTCACCTTGGGCAAGTCACTTTCCTTCTGTGCTCCTCCATCTAGCCTCAAAGTGGGAGCTGCTCATTGTGTGCATGAAACGTCAGAAAGATCAAAAAGCATCCAGCAGGAGCCAACCACAAGGTGAATGCTCCAAACCCCGCAGCCGTACCATTCAGCTGCAAGCCGGTCCTTGTCTCCTCCTCCTAGCTGGTTGCCTGGCACACAACAGACTCTGCCAGCATAGGCTGAATTGGGATTTGTGGAACTGCAAAGTCACACAAACCCCCACAACCCTGCAGCATCCTGGCAGGGTTGGCAGCATGATCTTGCCTTTCCCTGATGTTTACTACCTCCCTCAGCCCCCTGCTGCAGACCCAGGGCCTGCCCACCCACACCAGCATTCTCACAGTTAACGCCTTCCACTCCCAGCTCAGGGAGCTGCTGTGTCCCAGCCTCCAGCAGTCACACTGTCACAGTGACACAGTCACACGCAGGCACGCCAAGCCCAGCACCCACCACGGGACCCGCAGGAGACTGCGTCGCCCAGTCTCCTGGCTTCAGGGCATCTTGATCTCATCCATTTACACTGTCTCTGTCACCTGCCTTTTGTCGCCACATGCGTCCCTTTGGAGTGCCAGCCCTTCCTCACACAGGCACACCCTGAGTAGCACCCAAGCCTCTTCATGGTCCTGTTCGGGCGGAGCCGGCCAGGGAAGACTTCCCAGGTGGCCTCTTCTACCAGCAGCTGCAGGCACCCACGCTCCTCCTCCCCACCAAGTGCCACGGCTCCTTGGCTGGGAGGCACCCTGGGCATAGGTGGCCTTGGTTCCAATACCCGAGTGATTCCCGGAGAACCATTTAACCTCTCGGTACCTTGCTTTTCCCCTCAGTGAGTTGGGGATGTAGCTATCAGGGGCGGGGAAGGATTTCAGAGAGGCATGGGAAATTTTTAGGGTGGTGGAAATGTTTGCTGTCTTTGTGGCAGAGGCTTCATGGGCGTACCCACATATCAGGACAGATTCGTGCTGTGAGTTGTACCTCTCAGTACAGTTGCAAAAGAATTTTGCCCACTTTCCGAGCTCAGATGAGACACAGTCCATGCTAATTCTGGCCCTGCCCTGGATAGAACTGAGTAAACAGATACACCAGGAGACAAAGTGACAAACAAGATCAGGGAAGGATCATGGACACACTGTATGTCTAAAGATTTAGAGGTTAAAAAACCCTGTCCCATCAGACAGCCAGGTAATACTGACCTTGACCTGCATCCTTGACTCCAAGTGGAGGAATCATAGCTACCATTACCACTGGGCTGACCCCGAGCGGGCGCGTTCTTTCTCTGAGCAGTGGGGCAGTGCTTTTGTGTGCTGTGTTAGTCGGGTCTCACAGGCAGGGAATTGAGCACAGAAAGGCCAAGCAATTTGTTCAAGGTCAGAGTGCTAGAGCCGTGACCTGAACCAAGGTGGTCCAGCTACAGAATCACGTGCTTTGACTGCTGAGATGTGCTGTTTCCTGGCAGGTGTTGTGACAGGCATGACAACTTGAGGGTTTTTTTTGGTTTTGTTTTGTTTTTTGGTAGTAGTGCTGGGTGTTAAACCCCAGGTCTCATACATGCTGAGCAAGCACATTCAACCAGCAGCTAAGCTATATCCCTACCCCTTTTTTAAAATTTCACTTTCAAACCAGGTCTCACTAAGTTGCACAGGCTGGCTTGGAACTAGCATCCACCTGCCTCAGCCTCAGAGTAGCTGGGATTACAAGTGTGCACCACCACCCCT